CTTGATGATAATCATCGTTATCAAACAGTATCATTAAGTACACAAACAGAATTTCATCCAAATCCATCCTATATTTATATTGGTGGTTATCATCGATTATGTAGTTATGATGAACAACATTGTCGAACATATCGTGGTTGTTTAAAAAATGTTACTATTGATAATAATTATCTTGATTTAATTAATGATGAATTAAATCGACATCGTATATTACAACAATGTCATGATTTTAGTAATTAAAACTATATATTTGATATTGATTGTTTTCAAAGAAGAAGAAGAAATAATGAATTAATTGAATCATATCGAGAAAATTCTATTTAAATATTAAATGAATTTAATGATAAATATTTTTTATATCAATAATAGTTTTGTTATTTTATTATATATAATTAGTTTAAAAGTAGTTGATGATGATATATTTACATAATAGGAAACTAAATATTTTATTGTAAATCTCTTAAATTTTATCATTTTTGTTAATGAAAATTTTTCAAAAATCAATCTGTATCATTATATTAATAATGAAATAAATTACTTGTCTAATTAAAATAAATTCAGTTGTTTTTTGCGATTAAACATCAATTCGAATTGTAAATTAATTAAATATTAGTAATATAAAAAAAAACAAACTTATCATACAAATCAACAGTGATTATTACTGTTTGAAAAGAAATTGACATAATCATTGAAATATATTTCTGGTTTGAGTATAGGGTGTTTCATAAATTCTACACTCTCAAGAAAAATTAGTTTAATTAAAGACAAAGAATAATCTCTAACTGAATGCATCTGTATGAGAAGTGAGTACTTGTGTTAATGCTGCAGGTAGTGTTCTGAGGCTGACTCAGATATCCGACTCGAAGTATTGCCCAGGCAGACAATAAACGGCTAGAAAGGCGTTTTAACGCGTTTACACCGTTTTAACTCGTTTAAACGCGTTTACTACTGAATTTTTCATTTTTAAATCGTTTTTACAGTTTATTTTCAACTAAATTTGACAAAACCGTTAAAAACGCCCCAATTTCGCGTTTTTTTTCGAAAAAAAGACGTTTTAACGGTATTTTTCCGTTTTGCTTCGATTACCAAAAAAAAAAATCAAAGCTACAAAAATTTTATTATTATGCTGTCAGTAAGTAATGTACGTCGTCACTAACTAGTTGTTAGTAGGTGATAGTCTGCGCTGCTAATCTGTTACTAAGGAGTAGTAAATTTTTAATTTAACTGTTCTGTGACAGTTATACCTGGTTGAATGTATCTAAATCACGTAACACAACATAGTGAGTAATCAGTCTGGTTACTTTCTAGTAAGTAGTAAGTTTTACGGCTCGTTGTTATTAGTAACAGGCAACTGATGGTTAGAATATGTATCTTTTACTAATAAACAGCAAAAGATCAGGTCCGATATTTATGATTAGTGAATAGGAATTTTAAACCAAGAAAACTTTTTTATTGCCATTAAATCGAAGTCAAAATCGATAGCAGTATAACGATCTTACTGAAAATACTCCGCCTAGTGAGTTTACATATTCTTTATTGATGTATTGTTAGTATATCTACTCAGCAATATTCCACTCTTAATTGAAAATCGTTAAGACAAATATTGTTCGGTGTTAATATCTGATGAGAATGTAACAAAGTTTATCTTTGATTTGCTGCCTGTTCTTTTCATTTGGAATTCATTTGTGTTCTGTTTCGTTCACTGAGTACTTGCCTAACTGAGTAGGCCATTTTATTTCTAACGTATACTTAAAAATAATGTTAAATTCACTATATGTAATGGCACATGCTTCTTTTGTGTAAGACTGGATATGTTCGAATTAGATAAGTTCTTTTCTGCGGAAATTACTCAGAATGAGAGAAAGAATAGGGCACTTACTACATTGCTATTAATAGTGAGTTTCTGTGAAAAATACTTCAATATTCACTAGGTTAGTGTTGACTTAGACATAACATATACGATACTGATGACAATACAACTAGAAGAGTCGCTCGCAGACGATAAACATAGCAGGATCCATTAAATATTCCTCACTTGAAATGCTTCATATAGGATGTTCATCACGAGTACGTGTGACATATGAGACGTTTGAAACAGTTGAGTTTTCTACTTGATGAAAAGGGAATCTTAAGTCATCGAAATATGAATGAGCTTTAAAAGAAATATCGTCACTACAGGAAAAAACAGATAGCATTCTGGTGCATAGGTGTGGCTTAATCGATTTCATGACCGACTTAATACAAACTATAATTATGAGATTTCGTAGTGCATTGATGACATTTCTAGTTATATCATATCTCTGAACTTTGATACTTTAGAATTTGATCGAAAGGAAGTTAAATTTATTAATGATACTTGAAAAGAACATCTGTCTACCATAGTAGTTCCGATTGTAGTTTTCTTTATATTAGAAGCTGGTTAGATAGTCCGTGCTTTGCCTTTTCATCAATTCCTGTGTTAGTCGTACTATTTTAAATCTATTCATCAGTCTATCTTATCCGTCACTTATTTGAAACATGAATGGAAATAATTCAGTTTTCTTCTCGTTGATAAACTGATCGATTATATTCAAATTATCGTTAGATTAATGTTACATTGACATTAATCTAACGATAATTTGAATATAGTCGATCAGTTTATCAATGAGAAGAAAATTTAATTATAAATTATTGATATTTTATTGTTTAGATGAAACATTTGTTGATCATTAAGAGGCATGACATCGCAAATTATTTCAACTGTTTAAACAGTGTCATTAGTCGCCAAAAACGCGTTAAAACAGTTACAAATTCAATGACTCCAAGCGTTTAAACATGTAAAACGTGTTAAAAGTTAATTTTTCATAAACCGTTTTAACGCGTTTTTGCCGACTAATGACACTGTTTAAACAGTTGAGACGTTTAAACGCCGTTTTGTTGTCTGCCTGGGTCTTCTCTTATCATAGATCGTGCATCAATAATGTCTTGTTATAAAAAATGAGCAATTTCCTTGTTGTATCTGGGGAGAATTCAGTAAGAGAATAGTGAAGAAATATGTCGAAAAATAGATAGAATAAAATAATCTTCCGATGATTGGTAAGAACAGCTACACATTGAGCGTACAGCTTCCTTCAAATTGTCGTTTAATGTTCGATGAATACAATTGAGTATGTATTTCTTCAAATAGAATCGTTCAAATGAATTTATCTTACAAAGCAACCTTCACAAATGATAAAAATATCTTCATTTCAAATAATTTTGATAAATAGAGAATGTATAGACTAAAAATATCCTAAGAAGAAATAGATGCAAGATATGATTTCCATCAGATACTGACTTTTACTATAAGATTTCTACAGTATCTCACATTTTTTATTTGCATGTATATCTGATTACATTTTTTCCTGATTTCATTAGTTTTTAGAGACGATTTTCGTTTCATATATTTTCTATCATTTGAAATTTTTATTGAAAATTGTCAACATACATTTTTTTTATTTGTCTTATTCGTTAGTAAAAATAGAATTAATTCTCTTTAAGCAACAATCATGATTACTATCTTATCTAAAGATTGACTTAGGTTATTTAATCCGAGACAAAGTACAACATTTAAGTAGTTCTTTTTTTCTTTCTCGATATTCCCATTAAAAGTTACTATCTGATGTCAAGAATAGAAAGTCAGAAAATATTTGTTCAAACTCAACGATGAAAATACATGATCAAGTACATACTACCCGTATTTTTTTTTCGGACCTTCAATCGCACATTTTATTTCCTAAGAAGAATCCACTTAAAACAACGCAAATTTTTGCTAATTTCGTTCTTTTTTAAGCTTCGAGACAATTAAAACATACATCAAATATTAAGTTTCTACATGTTAATAGAGTACTTTTAATAGTAAGTATGAACTCTTGATCGGTTGGTTTTGAGTAATACGTAAATATCTTTTGGAACAAAAAAAAAACCTTCGGTAATAAGCCATAAAAAAATAATCTTTTGTCAACTGGTAGTCTAAGCTTCGCAACATATTGTGCAGTCGAATGAAATTTAAATGCTATCAGGTTTTATTTAGTTAAGCTTATCATAATATTTTTATTTGTGTGAACATATGCCTATCATAGAATGCGCCAACTATTTATTATTATAGAATTTAATTTTCATTATGTTTATAGCATAGAAAAAAAATAACAAAAAAAAAAAAATATAAACTGATAAGAAGCCTAACTATATAAATTATTGCAACGTACATTTTTATTTGAGTGAAACCAACCAAAAAATTACTATTTTTTTTTTT